CCCAAAGCCCCTCCCTGTGCCCCCAGCCCCCCTGGGGGTGTCCCCGGCCGGGTCACTCGGTGGCCGTGGCGGCCTCGGGGGGCAAGGACTCGACGGTGCTGGCGCACCTGCTGGCGCGGCTGGAGCGCGCGCACGGGCTGGGGCTGCGCCTGGCGCTGCTGGGCGTGGACGAGGGCATCGCGGGCTACCGGGACCAGGCGCTGGGCGTGCTGCGCGCCGTGGGGGCGGGGCTGCCCCTCCCCCTCCTGCTGGTCTCCCACCGCGAGCTCTTCGGCTGGGGGGTGGACGAGCTCGGGGGGCTGCTGGGGGGGCGCAGCCGCTGCACCGTCTGCGGGGTGTTCCGGAGGCACGCGCTGGAGAGGGCGGCGCGGGAGATGGGAGCGGACTGGATCGCTACTGGTGAGCACTGGGATGGACTGGGTTATACTGGGAGTCACTGGGAGGGACTGGGAGGGACTGGAAGGGGATTGGGAGGGACTGGGAGGAGTTGGGAGGGACTGGAGAGGGTGGCCAGGGAGGTGGGAGCAGACTGGATCGCTATTGGTGAGCACTGGGACGGACTGGTTTGTACTGGGAGAGCACTGGGAGGGACTGGGATGGACTGGGATGGGGTCAAGACTCACTGGGAGGGACTGGGAGGGGCTGGAGAGGGCGGCCAGGGAGATGGGAGCGGACCGGATTGCTACTGGTTTATACTGGTTTATACTGGGAGAGCACTGGGAGGGACTGGGAGGGGGTTAGGAGTCACTGGGAGGGGCTGGAGAGAGCGGCACGGGAGATGGGAGCGGATTGGATCGCTACTGGTGAGCACTGGTTTGTACTGGGAGAGCACTGGGAGGGACTGGGTTATACTGGGAGGGACTGGGAGGGGCTGGAGAGGGCGGCACGGGAGATGGGAGCGGAGTGGATTGGGAGTGGTGAGCACTGGTTTATACTGGTTTATACTGGGAGAGCACTGGGAGGGACTGGTTTATACTGGGAGTCACTGGCAGGGGCTGGAGAGGGCGGCCAGGGAGATGGCAGCGGACTGGATCAGTACTGGTGAGCACTGGTTTATACTGGTTTATACTGGGAGAGCACTGGGAGGGGGTTAGGAGTCACTGGCAGGGGCTGGAGAGACCCGCATGCAAGATGGGAGCGGACTGGATCACTACTGGTGAGCACTGGGGTATGCTGGTTTATACTGGGAGGGGGTTAGGAGTCACTGGGATGGACTGGGAGGGGCTGGGAGATCACCGGGTTATACTGGTTTATACTGGGAGAGCACTGGGAAGGACTGGGAGAGCACTGGGTTATACTGGGAGGGACTGGAGAGGGTGGCCAGGGAGATGGAAGCAGACTGGATTGTTACTGGTGAGCACTGGGAGGGACTGGGTTATACTGGGAGGGACTGGGAGGGACTGGGTTGTACTGGGTTATACTGGGAGGGACTGGGTTATACTGGGTTATACTGGGACGGACTGGGTTATACTGGGAGGGACTGGGAGGTCACTGGTCCTTACTGGTGTTTGCTGGGAAGTCACTGGTTTGTACTGGGAGATTTCTCATCATTGGTAGTCACCACTGGTCACTGGTGGTCACTCGTGGTCAGTGCCAGTCACTGGTGGTCACTCGTGGTCACTGGTGGTCATCAGTGGTCATTCGTGGTCACTGGTCATTTGTGGTCACTGGTGGTCATCAGTGGTCATTCGTGGTCACTGGTCACTTGTTGTCACTGGTGGTCATCAGTGGTCACTCATGGTCATCAGTGGTCATTCGTGGTCATTGGTCACTTGTGGTCACTGGTCATTTGTGGTCACTGGTGGTCATCAGTGGTCACTCATGGTCATCAGTGGTCGCTCGTGGTCACTGGTCACTTGTTGTCACTGGTGGTCATCAGTGGTCACTCATGGTCATCCGTGGTCATTCGTGGTCACTGGTCACTTGTGGTCACTGGTGGTTACTGTTGGTCACTGGTGGTCAGCAGTGGTCACTCCTGGTGATCGGTGGTCATTGTTGGTCACTTGCGGTCATGTGTGACCAGCGGTCACCAGTGGTCAGTGGTGGTCGCTCATGCTTGTCGGTCACTTCTGGTCACTGGTGGTCATTGTGTGGTCGCTGATGGTCACTTATGGGTATTCGTGGTCACTTGTGGTCACTGATGGTCACCAGTGGTCACTTGGGGGTCACTTGTGGTCACTGGTGGTCACTTGTGGTTACTGGTCGTTACTGTTGGTCACTGGTGGTCACTGGTGGTCAGCAGTGGTCACTCGTGGTCATCAGTGGTCATTGTTGGTCACTTGTGGTCACTCATGGTCGTTGCTGGCCACTCATCCTCAGTCGTGGTCACTGGTGGTCACTCGTGGTCACTGGTGGCCACTCATGGTCACTGGTGGTCACCTGTGGCTACTCGTGCTCACCTGTGGCTACTCGTGCTCACCTGTGGTCACCGGTGGTCACTCTGCTCCCCAGGCCACAACGCCGACGACGTGGCCGAGACGGTGCTGATGAATTTCCTGCGCGGCGACGTGGCCCGGCTGCGGCGCGCGGCCAACGAGGCCTGGGGGGCCACCAACGCTGCCTGGGGGGCCACCGCGGCCACCAACGGGGCCACCACGGCCACCAACGACAGCATGGCCACCAACGGGGTCACCACGGCCACCAACGGCACCGTGGCCACCAACGAGGGCTCGGTGGCCACCACAGACACCAACGGGGCCACCAATGTCAGTGGGGCCACCCACGAGGCCACCGTGGCCACCAACGGGACCGTGGCCACCAAAGAGGGGTCAGGGGCCACCAGTGAGGGGTCAGGGGCCACCAACGAGGCCACCACAGTCAAAGAGGACGTTGTGGCCACCGACATGGTCAGTGCGGCCAATGACAGCGACGAGGTCACCGTGGCCACCAGGGAGGTCACTGTGGCCACCAGGGGCTCCAGGGCGGCTCCTCCAGCCTCGATGGCCTCCAGTGGCCCAACGGAAGCCAAGGATGGCCAAAGGAAGGTCTTGGGAGGCAGCCCAAGGGATTGTCCCGAAGAGCCAGCGGAGCTTTTGGGGAAGTCAACGGAAACCGTGGAAAACTCAACTGGAGTTTTGGGAAGCTCAACGGAGCTCAACCAAAACCCGACAGAATCATTGGAAAACCCAACGGAACCGTTGGAAAACCCAACGGAACCCAACCAGAACTCAATAAAAGCCTTGGGAAACCCAACTGAACCCAATGAGGACCCAATCAAACCCAACGAGAACTCAACGACAGTCAGCGAGAATGCAACGGAAGTCAACGAGAGCAGAACGAGACTCAACGATGACCCAAGAAAACCCAACGAGAACCCAACAAAAGCCAACGAGAACTCAATGAAACCCAATGACAACCCAACAAAAGTCAACGAGAACTCAACGAAACGCAACGAGAACCCAATGAAGCCCAATGAGAACTCAATGAAACCCAATGAGGTCTCAACAAAACTCAATGAGAACTCAACGAAACCCAACAAGAACTCAATGAAACCTTTGGAAAACTCAATGAAACCCAACAAGAACTCAACGAAACTCGACAAGAACCCAACGAAGCCCAACAAAACCTCAACGAAACCCAACAAGAACCCAACGCAACCCACCAAGCCCGCGGCGCCGCGGCCAGCGGGGAGCTGTGCATGGCCTGCGTCCTGCTGGCCGCGCTGGACCGAGGGCGGCCCAGGCTGGCGCTGGGCAAGCGCGGCCTCAGGGTGGCCACCGAGGGGGGCGGGCCGTGGGACCGCGGCGGTCAAGGGGGCGGTGGTCACCAGGATGGGGGTGGTGGACACTGGGAGGGTGGTGACCGAGGGGTCAGTGGTCACTGGGAGGGTGGCCAAGGGGTCAGTGGTCACTGGGGTGGTGGCCAAGGGGTCAGTGGTCTCAATGAAACCCAATGACAACCCAACAAAAGTCAACGAGAACTCAACGAAACGCAACGAGAACCCAATGAAGCCCAATGAGAACTCAATGAAACCCAATGAGGTCTCAACAAAACTCAATGAGAACTCAACGAAACCCAACAAGAACTCAATGAAACCTTTGGAAAACTCAATGAAACCCAACAAGAACTCAACGAAACTCGACAAGAACCCAACGAAGCCCAACAAAACCTCAACGAAACCCAACAAAACCTCAACGAAACCCAACAAGAACCCAACGCAACCCACCAAGCCCCCGAGAACCCCCGTCGCGGCCGCGCCATGGCCGACGGTGCCGCGGCTGAAGCCGCTGCGGCACGCGGCGCAGAAGGAGATCGTCCTCTACGCCCACTTCCGGGGGCTGCCCTACGCCAGCGCCGAGTGCCGCCACGCGCCGCTGGCGTTCCGCGGGCACCCGCGGGCGCTGCTGAAGGAGCTGGAGGCCGCGCGGCCCCTCAGGGTGGCCACCGAGGGGGGCGGGCCGTGGGACCGCGGCGGTCAAGGGGGCGGTGGTCACCAGGATGGGGGTGGTGGACACTGGGAGGGTGGTGACCGAGGGGTCAGTGGTCACTTGGAGGGTGGCCAAGGGGTCAGTGGTCACTGGGATGGTGGCCAAGGGGTCAGTGGTCACTGGGAGGGTGGCCAAGGGGTCAGTGGTCACTGGGAGGGTGGCCAAGGGGTCAGTGGTCACTGGGGTGGTGGCCAAGGGGTCAGTGGTCACTGGGATGGTGGCCAAGGGGGTTGTGGCTGCAGGAGTGGTGACCGAGGGGTTGGTGGCCACCAGGATGGAGTTGGTGGCCAAGGGTGTGGGGGTCAAGGGGTCAGTGGTCCCTGGGATGGTGGCCAAGGGGGTGGTGGTCAAGGGCTTGGTGGCCACTGGGATGGTGGTCAAGGGGTCAGTGGTCACCAGGATGGAGGTGATGGCCAAGGAGGTGGTGGTCAAGGGCTTGGTGGCCACTGGGGTGGTGGTCAAGGGGTCAGTGGTCACTGGGATGCTGGTCAAGGGGTCAGTGGTCACTGGGATGCTGGTCAAGGGGTCAGTGGTCACTGGGATGCTGGTCAAGGGGTCAGTGGTCACTGGGATGGTGGCCAAGGGGGTTGTGGCTGTAGGAGTGGTGACCAAGGTGTCAGTGGTCACTTGGATGGTGGTCCAGGGGTTGGTGGTCACCAGGATGGGGGTGGTGGCCAAGGAGGTGGTGGTCAAGGAGTCAGTGGCCACCAGGATGGGGGTTGTGGCTGTAGGGGTGGTGACCAAGTGGTCAGCGGTCACTTGGATGGTGGCCAAAGGCGTAGTGGCCACCAGGATGGGGTTGGTGGCCACCAGGATGGGGTTGGTGGCCACCAGGATGGGGTTGGTGGCCACCAGGATGGGGTTGCTGGCCAAGGCTGCGCTGGCCATGGCGGCTGTGCCTGCAGGGCCGGTGGTCAAGCGGCCGGTGGTCACTTCACCCAGGGGGGAGCTGGTGGCCACAGTGACCACCAGGGTCAGGGTTTTGGTGACCACAGTGACCACCACACTCAGAGTTTTGGTGGCCACCAGGCCCAGAGTTTTGGTGGCCCCGCTGACCACCAGACCCAAAGTTCTGGTGGCCACCGTGCTCAGAGTTCTGGTGACCACCAAGCCCAGGGGTTTGGTGGCCACAGTGACCACCAGGCCCAGGGTTTTGGTGGCCCTGTTGGTGGCCCCGGTGTCCCCGCGGGTGGCCGCGGTGGCCGGCGGGTGCAGGTGGAGCTGCAGGGCCGCGCCGGACGCTCGGAGCGGCGCCGCCTCAGCGCCTTCGGCCACGGCCGGACGGGCCCGGGGACCCCCCGGGGGGGGCTGGGCGACATCTGGGACTTCTGAGGGACAGCGGGGACATTCCTGGGGACATTCCCGGGGACATTCCTGGGGACATTCCTGGGGACATTCCTGGGGTCCCCTGGGGACATTCCTGGGGACATTCCTGGGGACACTTCTGGGGTCCCCTGGGGACATTCCTGGGGACACTTCTGGGGACATTCCTGGGGTCCTCCGGGGACATTCCTGGGGACACTTTTGGGACATTTGGGGACATTTTTGGGACATTTTGGGACATTTTGGGCTTCTTTTGGGACATTTGGGGACATTTTTGGGACATTTTGGGACATTTTGGGCTTCTTTTGGGACATTTGGGGACATTTTTGGGACATTTTGGGACATTTTGGGACATTTGGGGTCCTTGAAGGGACATTTTTGGGACATTTAGCGACGTTCTGGTCTCACTTTGGGGACATTTTGGGACATTTTTGGGTTCCTTGGGGACATTTGGGTCTTTTTGGACATTTTTGGGTTCTCGGGGACATTTTTAGGATGTTTTGGGGTCCCCTGGGGACATTTTTTGGTTGTTTTGGGACATTCTGGGGTCCTTGAGGATTTTTTGGGACATTTTTTTGGTTTTTTAGAACTTTTTTGGAGTTTTTGGGGCATTTTTGGGGTCCCTGGGATAATTTTGGGGACATTTTGGGGTTTTTTAGGACATTTTTGGGGGTTTTGAGGACATTTGAATGAACATTTTTGGGGATTTTGTTGAGACGTTTTTGAGGATTTTGGGGGGATTTTTGGGACTTTTTTTGGGACATTTTTGGGGGTTTTTTTTGGGGACATTTTTGGGGTTCCTTGGGGACATTTTTGGGACATTTTTTGTGGGTTTTGGGACATTTTGGGGACATTTTTGGGGGTTTTGGGGACTTTTTGGTTTTTTTTGGGCTCCCCGGGAGTGCGAAGGGGGCGTGGCCAGCGCGGGTTATGCAAATGAGCCGCAGCTTTGGGGGCGTGTCCGCACAAAGCAACCCAATAAAGCGAGATTAAACTTTTAATTATGCAAATGAGGCGCGTTTGTGGGCGGGGGCTCATTAACCAGCGGGGGTGGGCGGTGATAATGCAAATTAAGGGCGCGTTTATGGAAATTAAGAGGGCGGTTATGCAAATGAGGCTCGGCGAACGCGGAAGCGCGGAGGCGCTATGCAAATGAGGGGTATGCAAATGAGATTTATGCAAATAACGGTGGGGGGGGTAAGACGAGCGGCCTGATTTCCATATAAGGAAAGGGCTGTGCCGCGCGGGCCAATCAGCGAGCGGGATGCAAATGAGGCAGCGCGGGAGGGGGCGGTGCTGCGTGTGGACGTGACGTCACGTCCGTCGCGCGGGCGGTGACGTCAGGGCAGCAATGGCGGCGCCGCGGGTGTCTCTGGGGGCGCTGAAGGAGCCGCTGGGGCTGAGCCGGGGCCTGCAGTGGGTGAGGGCCGGGGGAACTGGGATAAACTGGGGGGAACTGGGGGGTTTGTACTGGTTTATACTGGGAGGGACTGGTTTGTACTGGTTTGTACTGGTTTGTACTGGGAGGGACTGGGAGGGGAACCAGAGATGCTGGGAGCAGAACTGGGGGGACTGGGAGGGGATTTGGGGTTACTGGTCCATACTGGTCCGTACTGGTCCGTACCGGTCTGTACTGGTCTGTACTGGTCTGTACTGGTCTGTACTGGTCCGTACTGGTCTGTACTGGTCCGTACTGGTCTGTACTGGTTTGGGGGTTGGGGTTACTGGTTTGGACTGGGATGAGCTGCACCCAAATTTTGGGGCCGGAAGTTTTTAGGATTTTTTGATTTTTCCTCATTTTTGTTGGTTTTTCCCAAATTTTAGCTTCAAAATTTTAAAATTTTCTCAATTTTTCCTTTTTTAAAATCCAATTTTGACCTCAAAAATCCCAAATTTCCCCCAAATTTTCCCATTTTTCCCCAAATTTTCCCGTTTTTTCCCATTTTCTGTCAGATTTTCCCCAGTTTCCCTTTTTTTCTCCCCAATTTCTGTTGGGTCTTCCCAAATTTTGATCTCAAAAATCCCAAATTTTCCCATTTTTAACCAAATTTTTAGTCCAAAAATCCAAGATTTTATTATTTTTCCAATTTTTAACCAAATTTTGACCTCAAAAACCCCAAATTCTCCCAAATTTTTCCATTTTTTAACCAAATTTTGACCCCAAAATTCCCAAATTTATGCAAATTTCCCAATTTTTTTCCCATTTTTTGTCGGATTTTCCCATTTTTGACCAAATTTTCATGTCAAAAATCCCAAATTTTCCCATTTTAACCAAATTTTGATCTCAAAAATCCACAATTTTCCTCAAATTTCCCGTTTTCAACCAAATTTTAACCCCAAAATCCCAAATTTTCCCATTTTTTTACCAAATTTTGACCTCGAAAATCCAGAATTTTCCTCAAATTTCCCGTTTTCAACCAAATTTTAACCCAAAATCCCAAATTTTCCCTTTTTTACCAAATTTTGACCTCAAAAATCCAGAATTTTCCTCAAATTTCCCATTTTCAACCAAATTTTGACCCAAAATCCCAAATTTTCCCGTTTTTTATCAAATTTTTATCTCAAAAATCCACGATTTTCCTCAAATTTCCCATTTTTAACCGAATTTTTACCCCAAAATCCCAAATTTTCCCTTTTTTACCAAATTTTTATCTCAAAAATCCAGGATTTTCCTCAAATTTCCCATTTTCAACCAAATTTTGACCCAAAACCCCCAAATTTTCCCATTTTTTACCAATTTTTTATCTCAAAAATCCAGAATTTTCCTCAAATTTCCCATTTTTAACCGAATTTTGACCCCAAAATCCCAAATTTTCCCATTTTTTACCAAATTTTGACCTCCCAAATCCGGAATTTTCCTCAACTTTTTCATTTTTAACCAAATTTTCATGTCAAAAATCCCAAATTTCCCCATTTTTAACCAGATTTTGACCTCAAAAATCCAGAATTTTCCCCAAACTTCCCATTTTCGGCCAAATCTTGACCCCAAAATCCCCAAATTTCCCGTTTTTTCGCCTTTTCCCAAATTTCCCGTTTTTCCCCCCAGTTTTTCTCCATCTTCGCTTTCGCCACCTGCGGCGGCTTCGAGGGCTCCGTCACCGTCAGGGTCACCTGCGCCGGG